GTGTCTGTGAATGTGATGCTGCCCCTATCTGTCTATAGAGGGCTTCATCCACTTGGTCTTCTTGGTCAGGTGGCCTGTAGCAGTCCCCCACTGTAATGTCCCCTGCTCCCAATGTCCCTTTAATCCTGACCCATAGGCTCTCAGTTGGCTCTTTATGCACCCCTAGGCTGAGGTCCACGCATTCCAGCTGCTTGTTAACATATAAGGCAACACAGCCTCCTCGTTTCCCTTGCCTGTCTCTTCTGAAGAGCCTGTAGCCTTCCATGGCAACACTCCAGTCATAGGAGTCATCCCACCAAGTTTCCGCAATACCAGTGAGATCGTAGCCTTGGAGGTGTATGCACATCTCTAGCTCTTCCTGCCAGCAAACCTGCTTGCACTTGGGCTTCTCTCTCCATGGGGCCCTGGTGGGCTTGGTCTTGGCCAGCGGTGGGTCCATTTTGGAGCTGGCCTGCATTGGCTGTATCGGACATAGGGGAAGCTTCTAGCCGCTTCTCACAGAAGCCACCCCTGTAGTTCCCGTGCTACCAAAACCTTGCCACGCAAACCCAATACATAAATATTAGTATACATTAATAGTGTTAATGTACATTAATATAAATACTAAAATTATTAGCATAGTTATCCATCCAGATGCTTCTATAGCACCCCATATGCTTGAATAGCAGTGGAATCTGTAATGTGTAATGTCTGGCTGTGGTCAAGATGAAAACTGATACCAACAGTACCCTCATAACTTGTGACTGATACCTGATTTCATTATCTGACTACTGATTTACAGAACTCTATCCATATTCACTGCAAAACTTCCTCCTTGAGTGGTTTCTATAACGATTAGTTATAGAACTAATGAGGTACTAACAGTTAGTTACTACTTTGAGAAATCACTTTTTGAGCTTCTTGCCTAAAGCTTATTAACAGAACAGCATGCGCAGTGACTAAAATATGAAAAACTCATTTTGTTTCATGTAAAGATTTGCAGTAGGCAGATGCAAATTTTTATTTGTAATGCAAGGAAAATGTATCCATCACATTGTCCATTTACTTCAAGGTAGTGGCAGCAACTTTTGTCCTATGACTTGTGGGTTTTTTCCCTCCTGCTTCCCCTTCTTTTTTTTTCCATTTAGCACTTGATAGATGTTTTGACAGATGTTTATTGCTGTTCAACTTGTGAAGCTATTTTACACTATGTAGTTATTGGGTAGGCCCTTTAGTTTATATGAAGGTAAGGCTGCACGTATAAGAAACTACGCTTATATACTTGCTGTATTTTTTTTAAATCTTCTCTGAGTATCCTTTGGCAGATACTAAGCTATATAGATGGCATGACAATTCTTTTGGGGGAATACTTCCCAGTTTGAGAACATATTGACATTTCCTGAAGTGGTGTGTCTTTGTTACCTAAAATAATGTAATAGTTGCTTTACTTTTCCTGTACTGTACAGTTAAATTTTCTCTTGAAAATACTACATATAAAAATGAAGAATAGTCACCAACAGTCCTATAACGTAAGTCTAAAAACTGTCATAAGTGTAACATATCTAACAGTCTAGGATCTAGTAAATACTGCAGTCTTTGTGAGGAGAAAAAAAAAAAAAGTCTTTTCACCATATTTAGTAAGAGATGCATTTCTAAATAATTTGAAAGAATTTATTTAGTTGTAGGGTGTGGATGACGTCTGTGTGCAGATTTTCCTTTCAAGCATCTTGTTTGTTTCTTTTCTTTACTTTCAGTAGTAACTGAAGGAAAAAGTAAAAATCAAGTTGTTAGGTATGAAACCACTCATTTTGAAATGTGCAGAGAAGTAATGGGGGAAAGCTGTTTGTCAGTATTTATAATACTTCAAATATTAGGTGGAAGGGAGTTGGGGCCTCCAAGCAAAAATTCAGTAAAGCTGAAGTTTCTGATTTTGACGTTGGTTCCTCCCCAGTTCATATAGACGTGTTTAAACCAAATTATTTCATAACGATATGGGAAAAAGTGACTAAATATTTACCAATACTAGAGTTGCTTTATCAGTTTTCATCTTGGAAGGCTGTGGTATAAATAGGCAGTCTTTGTGTTCTGAAAGCCTATTCCAAGCATTCAGGTGCAGTATTTACCTAGTTTATATGTCCTTTGGGTTTTAACATTGACACACACTAAGTGTTAAAGTTCTGCCTCAGACAACATCCGTGCACCACGTGAAAATGCTGAGTATGGGTAATTCTTCTTTTTAAATGTGTAGATAGGTTGATTAGATCACTTGTGAACACTGTGTTAAGTAGCCTATCTTGTCTTTCTTCTGATGAGATATTTGGCAGCTATCTATTGGTCAGGGTGTCTTTTTAGAGAAATTACTGTGACTAAAATAGAGCAATATGCAGCCAGATCCCGCTAAGGTTCCCAAAGGAGTTGCTTTTGGGTTAATCTTTTTATACATAAGGAAAGGGATGGAGGGTGACAACATCAGGAGGAACTGAGCTAAGAAACGGATGGGCTCCACCTTCATTATCCTGAATATACTGTTCCAAACACTGTGCTAAAGTAACTTTTTAAGCAGCCTAATTTGCAAATGAAATGGGAGTAGTATATCTTAGTTGTAACTTCGGTGGTAATTCACATAATTGATTCTTTGTTTTGTTGTGGCTCCATAGTAAAAATCATGTCTGATTAGCAAAAAAGTGGTAATTATACAATGCATGCACATTTTGAGCGTTGTATTTTGAGAGTTTTCTTCTGTTAACTGTGTTTCCCTGTCTCTGTTCTAGGTTCAGTGGCACTGTAGATCACGGATGGTTGCAGGAGCTAACTTCTACATTGTAGGGCGAGATCCAGCAGGGATGCCACACCCTGACACTGGGAAAGATCTCTATGAACCAACCCACGGTGCCAAAGTGTTGACAATGGCTCCAGGCCTCCGAGCACTGGAGATTGTACCCTTCAGAGTTGCAGCTTATAATAAAAAAAAGAAGTGCATGGATTATTATGACTCTGATCAGTAAGTTGTATTTTTGTTTTAAGACTTCTGGAGCAATAACTGCCTTCTACTCTTCACCCACATAAAAATAATGTTTTAAATTAAATTCACATTGCTCAAAGATGGCAATGTTTAGATATGCTTGTAGATTATGAATGCAACTTGACTTCAGCATGATTTGGGTGCAATTTCACAGCACAACTAACCTGATCCAATTTTATCTGCCACTGGAAGCTCCCCTTTTCCTCTCAGGTACTTGAGTTTCTTTAATTCTGAAGTATGTTGGCACAGATTGCTAAATCCACAGAAAAATATTACTATTTATTATAATGGTAAGATTAGTTTTCTGCCAGTTTATCTTTCTAAATACGCTTCTCAGGCATCAGGTATGCATCAGATATGATGGAAGAAAAACAATGAGTGAACGCAGCAGGGAGAAGATACTGGGCAAGAGAGGGTGAAAAATATCTATTTCCTCTGTTTAACAATAATGCAAAGTGTTGCACTAAGTATGTCCCAGGGTTTTCAGCTGGTTTTTTTTTTTGTTTTAATCAATCCAGTTACAGGACAGGTAATTTCACGTTCTGTGTGTTCCAATATTATTTTTCAGTCATGTGTCATAGAGGAGTCCAAAACTCACTGTATGTTTTGCTGTGGTGCCAATGAGTGGGACTAAGAAGATGACTTGTCATTTTAGTTTAAACCTCTTTATTCAGATTATTGAACTGTACTTCTATTTTACATCAAGCTGCAGGTAAAGTTAGTACTGAAATACAAACTGTCAAGCAAGATGTTTTTCTAAAAATAAAATTGCATTTTTTATATTCTTACTATTTCCTACTACTCCTAACTGAAGAAGTATGTCTATACAGCAGAGTTCGTCTTTGAAAGCATGAACTCAGCATGGGATGGATTGACCTGTAAAGAACCCATCTCTTATCTCTTTTTCTTCAGCTGTTTGTGCTGCAGTTACACTGAGTATAGAAGTCTCCAGGGATGTCACTGTGGCTTGTGACAATCAAAAACCAAGTTTTATTCAGCAACTTTCTTACCATGAATTATGTTTATTAGTAGATAGTGTGCTGGCTTAACCTTGATTGTAAGTTACGTAGCTGCTTTATATTTCAGCAGTAAATTACAAGCACCTGAATTGGTCTGGTTTCATTTTTAAAAGTCACAAAGTGTTACTATCTGTTACATAACTAAATATAACGTTATGGTATGTTCTTCTGTTGTTTGGAAATCATAAGCAGTGTGATAAAGGCAAATGTGTTGAAGCCTGACAAGAATTGAAATAGTTTCACTGTGTATTACTCCACAATGTCCATATGTGCTTAGAAATTTGATGATTTGCTACATTGCAGATGTTTTAAAATTGAAGCTAATCAGGGAGGCTTATTTAGCAGTTGTAGTTTCCTGACATCGTTTTTCCTTCCTCCTCCATCCCATATAGGCAGCATTCCAATGTAAGGTTTTCCTTAGTGCTGTGAAGCTTCTCTTTGGATGGCATTGTAGCAGGTTTTTTTTTTCTTCTCAAGTGGAGCTATGGACAGTAGCATCAGATCAGATGTATGCCCTGATACATGGTATTTCCATCAGGAGGAATAAGATTAGTGGGAAGGATACTCCTAGCGCATTACACACGTGAAAGTCTTTTCCTAAACTTATTGCCTCTTACCTAGCTGTTGAACACTTCTACATTTGTGCCTTTCATTATTTGAGATGCATCTAGAAGTCCTCATTGCTGTGCACAGTAACGAGATTGTGATGTAAATATTGCTAGTTTTATGCAAAACTGTATACATTGTAACAAAAGATTCAAAAGGCTGTCATAGAAGATACTGTGGGTATTTGTCCTTTGTCCAAGTAATTCAGCAAGTTTTTGAAGATAAAGACACAAAGATTACAGTGAAATAGTGATACTGGTGTGTCACTTCTTAATAATTTGGAATAGAAGAGGAGTAGCAATGTAAGAGTCCGGAATTCCCATTGGACGGAACAGAAAACCTTTGGAGAAGAATATTAATTCTGTGATCATTGATACTGTACTCTAAGCAGGATAGATTTGATTTAGATCAAGGGCAGTAAAATTGTACCTCTGTCATTAGCCAGAGCAAATGACCAAAGAAAAATATTCTGTGATAACAGATTTTGCCTGTTGTCACAGACTGCATTATGCACACCCTATTATCCTTTCATCATGCCTATGGGGACCCTTCGGTTTGAGGCATTTTTTTTTTCCCATTTCTGTCACTGTCTTGGAAAAAAGAACATGCTGCTATTACCTGCAGTTTTGCCCTGCTGCTGTCAGAATGTAAGACTGTTTGTCTTGTCCTTCCCTAGATACTGTTTGTAAACTACAGGGTGGACTGGAGTGTGGCAGCAATCCTCTAGATGGCAATGCAGACACATGGAGACTCCCTGAAGAGAGAGCCGTTACTGCTCCAGCTTGCCATAGACAATACACTGTGGTAGGCTCCAGACAGAGTTAGAGTTTGGGTGCAGCTGGCTGCATTTCAAGATAGTCTGTGTAATGCTGAAAACGTCGCAGGCTCCTGGACCATGTGGTGTTTGACTCTGTAAGGGGGATGGCAGGGAACAGAGGATTGTCTGGAAATATGAGAGGATCAGTACTGGTGGAAGACCTTTGGTGTGAAACAGTGATATTTGTGGAAATCTTTCCTGAGCTCACCACTTACCTGGTGAAAAACACAGCATGAAAATGTGGGGAAGAAGATTGTATGCATAGAAGCATTGTTCTGACTTGTTTTGGAAATGGGTAACTTGATTTCTGTTGCACCTTTTTCAGTTCTTTGAGGCCTGGAGACTTGACAGCCAACTAAGCAGCTGAAGAATTTACATCGCTAAGGGATGCATGGAAGGTTATGGCAAGTGGGTTTCCCTTGGACTGAGCTATAGCTGAGCTGTGTGTCTTAGCTGCTGGAATTAGTTATTCCGTCCCCGAGTGGTCATCTCTTCTATTCTTTCAGGCCTCCTAGACTCCTATATCTGGGAAGGTACTTGTGAGAAGACATAATGGACACCATCTGCTATCTTGGGTGTCTCTCTAATTTGGCACAGTTAGACCCACACCTGGCTTGGCAGCAAAGACATGCAGAGATTATTGCAGTTGGGCTCTTTGCTGATCTTAGTGAATTATCTTTCTCCTTCTGAAGGCAGTACCAAGCCATGGGGGTGCTGGGGGATGAATCTTTCGCTAGTGGTGAAAGGTTACCAAAAGCTTGATCCAGCTTCCAGGATGATGTCTGACAAGCTGGGGCTGCAGCATTAGAAGTGGCAGAGAGGTGTTTTGCTTGTGACATCTCTAAACATTCATGCTCAACTTTAATGACAAAGATGTAACCCTTGCTGATGGAGTTCCATGTATGCATGTGGGGGTACATTTTCATATGCTGGGTTGGTACTGGGTCAGTTACCTACCATACTGGGCAACTATGTGATACCAGCCTCCCACTGGCCCTGCCTTCAAATCAGTAACAGAGGCCCTTACTTCTCAGGTGTACTGCCTGTGATTCTAAGAGGTCATTTTTTGTAAGGTCTTGAGCTCCCAAAGGTGTCCATGCAAGTGCAGTTTTGTGGAGTTGGTAAAGAAGTTAAGTTTGTTTCTCACTTCCACTAGTATTCTCCAGAACGCATGCTGTCCTTGAAGTTTCAGTAGACCTGGTATCTCAGTAGACCTGGTATCTTGGTTTGGGAACAGTCTGGAGAACATGATGGTTAACTTTGAGTGTTAGGGCATCACGTTGCTGGTTGACACTGTTGAGCTGCTGTGGTGCTGTGTTGGAGCTGAAGTCACTTACCGGCACATGTATCTACATGCACCCCTGTTTATAAGAATAGCAGAGATATCCTGATTGCATTTAGCAATAATCATGGAGCACTGTGTGTGACAAAAGGGAGTAAGAAAAGACTGATGTAAAAGCCTTTATACTAGCTGCACAACAATTGTAGTTGCAGAGTGGTGCATGAAGTTTAACTTGTAAATTGTTTGACTAAAGTTACCCTTTAAAATATTAAGACCTGTGAACAACCAATGACTTGAAACTATATTTGTATTTTGCCTCATGTGAAGCCACCACAATTTTTAATTCGTTTCTTGGATGTCTTAGAAATACATTTAGCACTTCATGAAACCACAGTCTTAAAACATATTTTTGAAAAAGATCTGTCTAAACCTAAGATTTAGGAAAGGGATTTGAGGAATTCATTTGAAGAGATGTATAGCAGCACAGGTAGAGCTAACTTCATGTTATATGCGTTTTGGTCAAAATAAGGATAATAAAAAAAAAAAAAATTCCCTTTTTATTGTTGCTGAAGTCAGATAGCAAGCCTAATCTTAGTTTTTGTGGGAAGCTAGGGCATTTCCACTTGCATAGAACTCTGAAGAAATAATAAATATAGAAATTAGTATGAATATTGGTACAGTCCTTTGGTTATCATAGTTTTTACTCTTTTAGATTTCATAGAATTTTGGATCAATAATTGAGTATGTCCAAACATATTTTGGAAAAATTCATAGGAAAAATTCTAGTTATAATGGAGAAAACTCCAAATTAATGTCTGATCTGTGAACTGATGTTAGACTGGAGTGTAGAGAAAAAAAAAACAACAAAGAACCAAGCAACCAACAAAAACCACCACCACTCCCCCCAAAATCCCTACCCAATGCTGAAATCCCTTCAGAAAAACAGTTAGTGTGTTTCTTCAGCCAAAAAGGCCTCTCAGTTACCACAGACAAGTGTAATTTGGGATTGGTGGCTTAATAGTAGTTGTTTGAGTGAGCAGAGATTCCCAGTTCTTTACAGAAGATCAGTCCTATAAAATGCAGCCACAGACTGCTGCTGAGGGAAAAAAAAAAAAACTCAATTAAGAAAGGAAATTAGTCTGGCAATTTAAAAAACCACAGCAGTGTCTGGTAAAATGAATTGTGTGGGGTTTTTTTTGTCCCGAAAGAAAACTGATGAGGTTATTTTAGACTAAAAGGAACCCATAAGTAAGGTTACCGGAGCAGACTGTTCATGCTTTCTATAAAATGTGAATGAAGCATGGGTTTCTGTGAAAAGAAGAGATTTTAACTTTATATAGTTTATTCCCAGGACCATTATTAGGTTTGTCATGACTGCTTTAATACTATCAAGCCATACTTATAGGACAGCTGTTCCGACTAAGTACTTACTGTTCCCAAATTTGTTTGATGTGATACCTGTTTTTTAAAGTGATAGTAAGAGGCTGAGATAAGCACACTTATCTGCCCTCCTTAATTTAGCTATGTGAAATATGGTTTCTCCATTAACATTAACATTAGGCTTAAACCCTCCTGCCAGTCAGGAAGGAATTTAATTCACAGCAGGTAAAGGATTTACTTTGCATATGTTGATATTAATCATATTATTATGTTCTACTTTCACAAAGAGTTTGTTCATGGCCAGTTGAGTTTTGAACCTAGCTGATACTAGCTGGTTCATTCAGCATTGTGGGGGATTCCCAAGGCATAACATAGACTGACCTAACAAAGACTTGACACTGTAAGGGACAACATTCTGTTCATGTAGGAGTTACCATGTAAGTCATGACTTGATGCTGCAAAAGAAAATTTAAATTCAGTGAAAAGCCTTCTGAAAAGTGTTGTAAGGTTAGATTTCATTTCATTGACACATCCTGTTCAGGAAGCATGAAGCTGGAGAAGGAGAATTGTTAAAAGGACTGAACCCCAGATAAGGAGGCTGTGAATTGTGCTAGGGATTAATTGGAGCTAGAGATTACCAGCTGAATAGAACACAGCAGTTGTTTTGAAGCCAGACAGGGTAAGTCATGTTATTGTTTTATTTCCATACATTTGTTTCCAAACCCCATATTTTTATGAATAAGCAAAACTATGAATGAGTCTAGTATTTAGGAGAAATTTCTTAAGACCTTGAGGCCACCAGACATTGCCCTGCACAGAGAATAGGAATTCTAAGAAGGTGATTTGCACAGTGCCAGACACCCTAAACAGAAGGTTGGGGTTCCCAAGATTATGACTGATCTTTAGTGCTCCCAAGTGAAAAATCGGTTGTATAATTGTCGTGGTTTAGGCCAAATCGGCTATTTTATACTTAGATTAACCATGTAGGGAATAATTGTTGAAGTGGAAAAAATAATCTTCTCAATCACTGTATTAAGGTACTGTATTGACACCTCAGAGATATGGCAGTTTCCTGTAGGACTGGAAAAAACTTCATGCAGTTTTTTCTCACTTGCAAACTGGTGATGACTTTGTCGTTTTGCAAGAACTGTGAGGTCTTTGAAATCTTAGCCTCACTGCTCTTAGAGTGTTTGAGCTCATAAAGGTCTTTGAAATCTTAGCCTCACACACTGCTCTTAGAGTGTTTGAGCTCATAACAAAGCATAAAGATCTGTCATAGTTGCTGGGGTCACTCGTGGTATTATAGTAAAAAGTAACTACTGAATGCACAAAAAAGGGAAATCTATTTAACAGATTAAAACATTAGTCTTTGTAAATGAAAGAAAGGAAAGAACTGGTGTATGAATTGTTAATCTTATGTGCATGGCTTGTAATGTCTTATTGAAGCAAATTTATGGGCATAGGCGAAAGTTGATTGTCTTTTTGAAAACTTAACAGGCAAGAGGGGATAAAGCGGCTAAATTTTTTCTTAATGCTTGAACTTTAGTATTGCTACCACACTGGAGAAAACCGCACATGGAGAAACTGTATAGCACTTGCTTTACTCTCCTTTTCCTGATCATCTGAAGACTTAGTATTTTTTCACTAGAATTAACCAGGCTTATCACTTTCTCACATTTATTTTATAGAAATAGTTTTTTGCAAAGAATACAAATTACCTTCAAGCAGTGTTAGTGAACAGTAGGCATCTCTCTGCCAAGGAACAAAATTGAGAGCAATAAGAAAAAAGCATGTATGGCAGTGTTGCTGTGTAAATGTATATGATCCAAACCAAAAAGTTATGGGGCTAGTGGTTTTGTGGAAGGGAACTGTGGAATGCTTTCTGCATCTTGCTAACTTCCATACCCTGCTGAGCATAGCTCAGCACTTAAAGCCAAGTTCTGCCCTCTGGTGCGCACATTTGGCTCTTCTTTCTGTCTAAGGCGTGTGCATCTGAGATCAATATTTGGCTTTTATTTCAAACAGACAAGTAAAGAATGAGTAATACATACATGTTGCAAATTGAGCAAATGGCGTAAGTAGAAGTGCATATTTAATTTAAGAATAAATAATTTTTCCTTTGGAGCATTTGGTAGAACTTTGACATTCTTGTCTTGCTTTTAGTGTTTCAGTCCTGTGAGGAGTAAGACTTTAACTTGTGTAGCTTTTGCTGCTTATGACTACATACCTGAGAAGTTAATTTAAATTGTCATGTTAACAATGATAAACAATCCTGATCTGGGTTCATTTGTGCATTTGTCCAACTGAATTCTGTTTTTTTTTAGGGAAAAACATCGTTAGGAGAAGGCATTTTTATTATTCTCCTGCTTTTTTCTTTCGTTTGAACTGTATGTGCCACATTACTGATATGCATATATATGTATATGCATGCTCAGTGGCTTGTAATGGCCCAGCTGCAGCAGCTGTGGAGCTCACCTCTGGACTCGGAGGCTTTTACTTTCTCTGTTCTGCCAACTGTCCTTCACTAAGGTTTCATGCAATGTTGTTTCTTCACAATCTCTAGTGGCACTGAAATGATCTCCTTCAGCAAGCACATAGGGTTGGTCAGCTGCCAGGGCAGGGCAAGGTGCAAAATAGCATGGCTGCTGTTGCTTGGCAGAGGGCTGAGGCAGGAGGCGAGATGGATCTGTCTCAATACGAGTTCCCTGTTTCCTCATAGAGAGCAAGCCAGGCTAGATGGAAGCACAGACTCAATTCAGTCCACAGGAGATCAGTTGGACTATGCTACTAAACCTCAGGAGTTACCTAAGCTGAATATTGTAGAGGGTGTATATACTAAAGATTTACTGGCGTTGCTGGCCAAATGTCTGGAAATGACAGTTGCTATACAGCATCATACTCCCAAGAAGAAATTTGTAAAGTATCAAGAAATCAGAAGGAATATGAGCAACTTTGCCTGCTTTTAAAATATGTTCTTTTTTCCCCCCTTCCTTTCTCCTCTCTCTCTCCTCCTTTGCCCCCACTCCTACTCTCTCAGCCATGAAGACTTTGAATTTATATCGGGGACCCGCATGCGCAAGCTCGCTCGAGAAGGACAAAACCCACCGGAAGGCTTCATGGCTCCTAAGGCTTGGACTGTGCTGACAGAATACTACAAATCGTTGGAGAAGGCTTAGGCCTCTTATTAACTGCAGATCAACCTTTGACGCCTGATTTATTTACGAGAAGGGGACCACACAGTCACCGTTCATGTTGCTTTGTTGTGGTGTCTGTCAGGAAGTTCTTCTCTGAAAACAGACTCTTCTCCCTAACTTAGTATCATTCTTTGCCTGTCCTTATGGGTTCTATTATGTCCTGGCACCTAGCTAGCTGCTGGGTTTAATGTCTTCTCTTTTATTACAGTTAATATTCTTGCAGTAGGATTTTTAACTCTTGTCTTTTTTTATATTTTACTGCCTCTGTCCTATAAGTTCTGCAGCTGTTAAATAGATGCAGCTTTTTTCCTATGTTATTTAAACTGCTGGGTAGTGTCTGGTTTTAGTAGTTTGTAGGAGAAAATGTAATGGTTAGACCCTTAACTATGGATAGATTATCTACAAATCAAAAAAGTAAATAAGTTTTAAAACATCCGTAAAAGTGTCCTCATCTTTATCTCATCATCTCCAGAAGCACTTAACGTTAATTTCTAACTATATGTAATCAAAAAAGCAGATTTTTTAATGTAGTATAATTGATTAAATTTTTTTTGCTTTCTTTCTTTAGTTTTGGAGTTCAATGAGTTGTCCGGTGATTCTCTTCTGCTGTGGACCTATAGAGATGGCCAAGTAATAAATAAAAGAAAATATTCCATTTTCACTTTGATAACTACTCCAGGTTTTTTTTATATATGCTTGTTGCTGTAGGTGTCAGTAGGGAATGTTTTATTTTGTTTGATATAACTTGCCAGTTTTTGTTCCAGATATACTTGTTCAGTCTACTACAACTTGAAAAATATACAGCAGACCAACCTTGAATTAATCTTTAATTATTGCAAGAAAAATAAAAAAAAAATCCCTAGATCTTGGCATTTCCTGTGGTACAAATGCTTAGTTCTGAGGTTAATTTTCTGGCTATTTTTCAAGGTCTCCAAAGAGTAATCTCCTTTCCTTCGTTCAGCTTTGCTTGGTTGAAAGACAAAGCATATGTTCTTCTAGGATTCTTCAAAAATCCTGAAGTCGGCTAATTCAGTATGAGAAACATTAACTGCCAAAGGAAAACATAAAAAATGAAAAGTAAAACACCTTTAGGTGTAAAGTAACACTGACCTATTGGGATCTTTTCAAGCATTTGCAGGTAATCAGTGAACAGTCATAACCCCTTTTAGCCTATTAGCTAGAAAATGTCTCATATCTTTCTAACAGAAACTTACTTTTCTGTTGTTAAATAATGTATATAGGAGGAACCAGCTCAAAATTGTTTTTTGAATGTTGATACTGGCTTGCTGCTGAGCCTGGATGAGGCTTATGTTCATCTAGATTTTTTTCAGACTGGGGGAAGGTTGTGACGAGGGCACTTGTGTAATGAATGGGATGAATGCTACTTGCAATCTTTGTTTAATTGTTCACAGTAGAATTTAAGACAAATGCTTTGAGAATTACTTCCTTCTCTTTCCTTCCTCTGTCTCTTTTGAAGAGGTGTAGAAAGTATCTTTTAATGTGATTCTTACCTCTGATAGAAGGTAAAGCAGAATTAGGAAAAAACAAGGGTCATGTTTATTAGTGAACCACAGCAATTACTTGAGACTGTTTTGGTAGTGTAAAGCTTATTTCTTCAGAATCACTGAACAGATTTTCTTCAAACTTGGCTTTCTTTTTAGATTGTATCAATATGTAGGATGTGCAAAATCCAGAAGAAAGAGTCAGTTCATCTGTATGCAGCTGTTCATGCAAAACTTCAAGTTTAACTATGGAGGTGAACAAGAGTTATCAGCTGCTAAAATGGGATTTACTGTTGGAAGTTGGAGTTTGGAATCTTTGCTGTCAGGTTTGATTCTTCTGCTAGGTATGATGAAAGATAATAAAAATATTTTGGCAGAATAGCTAACACAGGTGAAAGTCTACAGAAGTTAATGTTTTAAAAATGCTACCTGTGCTATATGAAGTCTGGAAAATAAGTGGTAGTGATAAGCATGAATA